TCTCCACCACCTCCTTTTATCCTATACCTCCTTATTTTCTTCTCTCCCTCCTCTTTCCCTCCCCTAGTCCCTGCATTCCTTCTCTACCTAATTTTTAGCTTCTCTGCATTATTTTCTCATGTACCTCCTTTCCTACCTACCTCCTTCTTTCCTTCTCTACTTCGTTTTTTCTTCTCCTTCCTCCTCCATTCCTTCTCTTCCTTCTCCTTTTCTCCTCTACCTCCCTTTTCTTTTTTTACATCCCCCTTTCCCCCCTTACTTAATTTCTATTTATACCTCCTTTTCTCTCCTACTTCTTTCTGTTCTTCTCTACTTTGACTGTTTTTCTCATGAACCTCCTATTTTCTCCATAGCTTCTTCTCTCCTCGTCCACTACTCTTATACCTCTGCCGTTTGTTCTTTAATCCCAATCTCATTATTTCCTTCTCTGACTGTACATCCTCCTTCCCATTTATTTTCTGCCTTATTATAACTAACTAACCTAATAACTAACAATGCTGATCTTTCTCCTGTACTACAACAGAGTTACTGAGGAGTAAAGCAAAGGAGAAAACAGTATATTAAATCTACAATTTAAAACATGAAGTTATATTTTGGAGATAATGGTCAGTTTCTGTAAAATGTTGTTCATTCCCAGATTTAACTGATTTAACTATCTTGGTCCCGCCCGTTTTATCAACCTTTTTCAACCCTCAGTTGATTGAGGATCCAGCAGTGCCACCATCATATTCAAAAAGAAGAACTAATGATAAAGGTTATAAATCTTAGTTTGCAGAGCGAGGACCGTTATAACCTCTTCCCTCTTTTCTCCAGTCTAACGCTCAGACCACCTCAGAGGATGTCCTGCTGTCTTTTCTGCCTCTGGCCCACATGTTTGAGAGAGTGGTGGAGGTACAAACATGAACACTGACTGATCTCCTTCCTGTCTGTGTGTTGGTGTGTTTCCCTGTCCATCTGTCCCATCCCCTGCTGTGTGTGTGTCTGTATTCCTGTGTGTGTGTTTAGGTGTGTGCTCCGTTTTCTCACAGTGATGTCCATATTTCCTTCCTGCCCCTGGCTCATATGTTCGAGAGAGTAGTCCAGGTATTGTATTTTCCCTTAGTTCCTATAGTCACCCTTTGTTAAATATTTCTGTGTTTGTGTCCCTTTCTTTTTTCTTTTACTTTATGGTGACTTTTAACTTTTCCCTTCTGTATCTTTTGTAAATTGCTGGCAGGGAGTGATGATAGTGCACGGAGCCAGGATCGGCTTTTTCCAGGGAGATATCCGTCTGCTGTCAGATGACCTGAACACACTGAAGCCCACTGTGTTCCCTGTGGTGCCCCGACTCCTCAACAGAATGTATGACAAGGTAAACGGACCCCGCAAACGATAATGGGTCCCAAGGTGGATAGATCTGTGGACGGAACGCTCTGGGGGGCAAACGGCTTCGTGTTTACGCCCTATACAATCATTTTCCTAATAACGATGAGCCATAGCCCCACCTCTGCCCACCTCTGCTGCTCACTGCTGTAGCATGGTCAGTAGCTACTGTCAGTAGCTACTGCTACTGACCATGCTACATATGTTAGTGCACAATCTACAGCTCCTCTACCACAACCATCAGCAACAAGTGGACATAGAGAATTACATGAACTACATGTTGCTAAATCCACCGCGGGGCATAAACAGAAGGGCAACCATGGCAACCATGCTCGGGGGTCTTCTTCGCTGCTTTTGGTGTATTTTGTGGCGAAAGTACAGCGCCACTTACAGGCCCGGCATATGTACTACAGCGTCTCCAGCGCTTTTGAGCGGTCTCGTGCGGAAGTACAGCGCCACTAAGAGGCCCGGCATATGTACTACAGCGTTTCCAGTGGTCTCGTGTGAACGGACACGTTAAATGAGCCGAATGCGTGTGAACGGAAGACTTTATTGAAAACGAATTTGGTGCGCAAACGTTCCCGTGTAAATGGGGTCTTAAAAGGAGTTGAGGCACTGCAGTTTCTCCTGATCCTGCTCATATTAAAAGGGCCCTATTATTCTCATGTTCAGGTTCATATTAGTATTTAGTGTCTCTACTGGGACATGTCTCCATGCTTTAATGTGCAAAAAGCTCTTTATTTTTCTCATACTGCCTGTGCTGCAGCACCTCTTTTCACCCTCTGTCTGAAACCAGAGCCCAGTCTGCTCTGATTGGTTAGCAGGCCGGCTCTGTTGTGATTGGTCAACCGCTTAGAGATGTCCCGCCCTTTAGACTATCACGTACAATGTGTCGGAGCGCTATCCAATAGAAGTGCGAGTGTTATATAGTGATGTCACTCTGTCGCAGAAGGAGAAACTCCATCTGGAGGGAACACAGGGATTTTGCAGACCCTTTAAATGCACAAAAACCTATAGAATACACTACTGGGAAGGGAAAAGTCCTACTCATGTCCTGTCATGACAGTTGAATAACACACCAAAGTTACAGCAAAATTGGTGAAATACATTCAGTGGAAATAAAAACCCAAAATATTACCATTATGTGAGGAAAGCAACTCTCAGGGGCCGCATAACAGCTACAGAGTTATTGAGGTGTTTATTTGTGAAAAATATAGAGTTATGTATAGAATCAATGGGTGTCTACCGTAATACACCCATAGATCAGATGAACAGTAATTTAAATAGCTGGAGGACACACTCACACAGATTATTTGCTTTATAGTTAAATAATGACCATCATTAAAGATGATAATAGTAATGTTGTGTGTGTTTGTGTGTCTGTGTGTAGATCTTCGGGCAGGCTAACACCTCCCTGAAGCGCTGGCTGCTGGGGTTCGCCTACAGGAGGAAGGAGTCTGAGATCAAGAGAGGCATCGTGAGGAGAGACAGCATCTGGGATCGACTCATCTTCGGGAAGGTTCAGGTACAGAGCAGCCCAGGCACAACTCTGAACCTCACTGTAGAGTTCAGTGCTATGTGTCCAGTAATGTGTTTCACTAGGGTTCGTTGACAGGTAAAATTACTTTAAGTCCGTGGAACAGTTATTTTAATGTGCATAAAAAGGCACAGACAACTCCAACTGTCTTTTTGCCTTTTGAAGTAAAGTAGTAACTTGTATTTTACCCAAAGCTTGAAAGACCCCAATGACTTTGTTTTTGGCCATATGTTCCAGCAACATCTTTTTCTTCTGTTAATCCCTACCTTCTATTAAAAGAACAACAACGATTTGGGGGTGACAATAACCCAAACAACCAAATAAAAGTTTCTCCCAGAAAGACAGTCAGGTATTATAAGGCATTGCATTAATATCAAAGTGATCTATATACGTTAACGAAAGTAAATCAGAGATTTTAAACGGTGAGGGGGTAGACATGATGTGCGGTTGTTGATGTTGTCTTTTGTGTTGTGCTGCCCCCTACAGGCCAGCCTCGGAGGCCGTGTGCGTCTCATGCTGACAGGAGCTGCTCCCATCTCCCCCACGGTCCTCACCTTCCTCAGAGCTGCTATAGGCTGCCAGGTAATAAACACCAGCTCACTGTGTTCTACATTGTTCCGTCTCTTCATATCACATCACATGTCCTGGAATTCTGTAGAATACCCAGGTAATATAAAACAATCTGAAGTTAACTATTAAATCATTACATTTCATGACATTTCCTTTTCTATATTCCTGTCTGTTTAACATAACATAATCATGTGTTTGTATAGCAGCAACCACAGTCGGAATAGTAGTAATAATAATCATGTGTGTATAACCAGGGGTGCACTAAACTTTCTCAGTGAGGTACTCCAATTTCTGGCTCCACTCAAAGTTATTTGATGAAGCCCTCTGTATCGCGAACGTCAACGGGGGGGGGGGGTGCTAGTGGAGTACTTCTAGTGGAGTTGTGATCAGCTGTTGTAGCGCAGTTCTCCAGTGAAGTGGGGGGGGAAGTCTCCCTCCGCAGCCGGTTGGCGTAATTTTGGCACAATTCCGTTGTACAGACCGACGTTAACAGCAGCCCTGTCTGTGCACACGGAGACCGACTCTGTCGTCCGGTGATCTAACAGCCTTCTGGAAAAGCTTCACAAGTACGTCGGTACGCAAATGCGCTTTGTGACACAAGTGACGGTACGCATTTCAGATGTGCACCCCTGTGTATAACAGTCGTAGTAATAATAATAACATAATCATGTGTGTAGTAGTAGTAACATGATAATGATAAAAACATAATCATGTGTTTGTACAGCATAAGCAGTAATGATACAAACAATTATGATATTATTAACAATAATAACATAATTGTGTTTTGTATATTATTCATTACATAATTAATTGTGTATAATCTTTTTAAATAATAATAATACAAAAACATTATTATTGTTATTATTTTAATTTGATTTTTTCAATGTAATAATCATGTTTTGTTCCTGTCTGTCTCAGCTCTATGAAGGCTATGGACAGACAGAGTGTACTGCTGGATGCACCTTGACCATGCCCGGGGAGTACAATGCAGGTAATGAATAACACATGTGCATTTAGTTGGCTATTTCTTTTATTAAGTCTCAGTCCAGTTTTAAATGTCATTATTTTGATCCTATTATGTCAAACTCAGCCTTTTTTTGTGATCAAGTTTTATTTGACTCAAAGTCTGGGTATTTTGTTATTATCTTAGTCAAAGAAAGGCGTGAATATTTTAGTTTTAGTCAATGAAAACAGTTTTAGTCAACAAACTATTTTTCACATTCTTATTCAAGCTAGTCTTGCCAAAATATGTTTCTTTGTTCTCATCTTAGCTTGTTCTGATTAGGACTTCACCAATTGTCAATCATATTAAACTCCTTCTTTTCTGTTAACAAAAGAGAAATACTGCTTTTATTTTAAAGTCATACATTTTTTCTGTTGCGTCTCTGTTTTAGTGGTGGAAGAAAAGGGGTTGAATAACATTTTCAGTCATAGTTGATGTTATTGAAACCAACACTATGAATAAGATGGCTGCTTTACTTGCCTTTGTGTGTATGACGTAGCACTGTAAAAGATGAATTGATATCTGAGCTTTACAATAACTTAACCTTAACCTTAATACTTAACTATGTAACATTGCCCTGCAGGTCACGTTGGAGCTCCTCTGCCCTGTAACTCCCTCAAACTGGTGGATGTGTCTGAGATGAACTACTTGGCTGTAAACGGGGAGGGAGAGGTGAAACAAAAAGACAACAACTCTGTCTTTTATATATATTTTATGATAAAGTACTTCATGTATAAGTTTGTGCTTGTTTCTAGGTGTGTGTGAAGGGCCCTAACGTGTTCCAGGGCTACCTGAAGGACCCAGAGAAGACGGCAGAGGCTATCGATGCAGATGGATGGCTGCACACCGGAGACGTTGGAAAATGGCTTCCTGTAGGTTCAGTAATACAGTTTGAATTCAACCTCAAACTTCTGTATCTCTAACAGCCTGCAGACGTTTGATCAGATGTCCTTGTGTGTGTTGACAGAATGGCACGTTGAAGATCGTGGACAGGAAGAAGCACATCTTTAAGCTGGCCCAGGGGGAGTACATCGCTCCTGAGAAGATAGAGAATGTGTACATGAGGAGCGATGCAGTGGCACAGGTGTTCGTACACGGAGACAGTCTGCAGGTAGGTGGAGGACATGCTGCAGTGTTATGACCTGTTATACTGCCATTAAAATCCTCGGCTCAATCAATCAATCAAATGTTATTTTTACATCCCAATATCACAAAATAAACATTTCTCTTACAGTGGTTACACAGCATCAACACCCTGGAAAGACATCTCAAAATGGAAAAACCTCAGGAAGAGCAACATAGGAGGGATCCCTCTATAATAGTTGGAATATATGTCGTCTGTATGGATTTAAAAACATGATAACACAGACAGATTGACAAAAACGATAATGTGGAAAAAATGTAAAACGAATCCAAACACGTAGGGGATAATGCCGCTGGATTCTGAGTTAATAACATGCAGTTATGTACATGCAGAGAAAGAGAAACATCTTAGCCTGTAGCAGCATAGCTAGGGGCTTGTTCATGGCTAAATATAAGCTTTATTGAAAGGTAAAGTCTTAAGCCTAAGTTTTCCTTCTATGGTTACCTACCCCTACTAGCTTAGCACAGCTGTCATCTAATTGGTTGCGTGCCGGGTGTCAGCGACAATCGAGGTCAAAGTAGAAGTCATTTGAACTTGAAGCGAGTGTTGAGAGACAATTTTGGGCGGTGTGCGAGGGTAGCACTTTCGCCTAGTCGACGGCCCCTCCATCTCTCCATAAAAACCAAACGGCAATGTCAGCCCAAAGCTGTTTTACCGCCTGTTATGTGAACGCAGCTTAAGCCTATAACAACATAACTAGAGGACACATCACGGTAAGCCTGAGCCAACCCTAAAAGCTTCGTCAATAAGTCTTAAGCCTGCTCTTAAAAGTGAAGAGGGTGTCTGCCTCCCCAACACAGATTGTCTCCTGATTCCTTCTGACATGAGTCCGCTTTGTTAAAGGTCCCATGTCATGGCCATTTCTACTGATCATAATTCCATTGTTGAGGTATACTAAAATAGATTTATACCATGCAATATTCCAAACTCACATTGGTTTCTCATACAGCATCTCTGTAAAGTAAAGTATGTGTACCGGTATTCACTCTCTGTCCTAAACGGCTTGTTGGAGCTCGACCCCACCCTCCCTGTGAGCCCAGTGTGCTCTGATTGGTCAAGCAACGTGCAGCTGCTCGGGAATCGCTGGAAGGTTTTGGGAAGCTTTGTTTCGTGAAAGGCTGGCAGATGGTGCGGCCATAGCTCTGGGCGTGGCTACTGGGTATTCCTACGTAGTGATACCCAGGAAGTAAACAATTGAAAATGAGAAATCTCCAACGAGGCGTTTTGGGGAGGTCTTTTCTGTGTTAGAGTTTTACTCGCTACAGGGTGTACTTTGAGGGTTTTTGATTCTGCAGACCGTGCACATGCATAAAAACCTTCATAAAACACAAGGGGACGGGTAATAACCAGAAAAGCATGACATGGGACCTTTAAACCTCAGCGGGATGAGTGCATTATGAAGTCCCAAAGATCTCTGCTGCTTTTAACTGCTATGCATTGTGTTTATTTTGAAGGCGTGTTTGGTAGCTGTGGTGGTTCCTGACCCTGACTTCCTGTCTGGCTGGACCAAGAGAACTCTGGGACTGGAGGGCAGCTTCCAGGAGCTCTGTGGCAGAGCGGTAAGACTTTTGATCACAGTGTGTACAAAAGTGATGGGTGGTGGTAAGGGGGCGTCTGAACATGGTGGAAAAGGACAATCTGGAATATAACAAATCGACAACAAGAACACTAAAGAGTTCAAATAACTTTACACAAATACAATGAATAAAGTGGACCGCATTGCTGACAACTCACTTTGTCCGTTCGTAAACTTAGGAATCAGCCACAAACAATCTACAAAGATGTGTGACAAATTCAATGATCCCTGACCAAGGCAGTACATGCCCATTATTTCCTCTCTGGATATGGCTCAGAATCATACAGATGGAATTCATGAAGACTTAAAGAATTGGATCATCTCCTCTCACACATCCCTGAAACTGGTCCTCCCGCTGTACTTCTCGGAGACTTCAACCTCCAGACGGGGAAGATAGACGAACTAACATCTCTGTTAACCGCCTTTGCTTTCTCACTGTCTCCGTCCCCACCAACTCATAAAGCTGGCAATGTCCTTGATCTCATATTCTCAAGGAACTGCACTACTTCTAACCTCACTGTAAACCCGCTCCACACATCCGATCACTTCTTCATTTCATTCTCTCGACCCCTTTCCAAACATAACAAACTAATCTCTTCCCATCCTGCACCTGTCCGCCGTAACCTTCGTTCCCTCTCCCCCTCTACCTTTGCCTCATCGGTGCTCTCAGCCCTCCCTTCCTCTGACTCGTTCCAACTCCTACCTCCAAACTCTGCTGCAGAAACTCTCCTCTCTACTCTCTCATCCTCTCTGGACTCTCTCTGTCCTCTCACATCTCGGCAGGCTCGTCAGTCCCCTCCTGCTGGCTAAATGATGCACTGCGTGCTAATAGAACCGTCCTTCGGGCAGCAGAGCGGAAATGGTGGAAATCCAAACACCGTGACGACCTCCTAACCTATCAGGCTCTCCTCTCCTCTTTCTCTGCTTCGATCTCTCAGGCAAAAAGCACTTTCTTTCAAGATAAGATCCAATCTTTCTATTCCAATCCCAAAAAACTATTTTCCATCTTCTCCTCCCTCCTAGACCCCCCCAAAGCCCCTTCCCCCTCCTCCCTTCTGTCAAGCGACTTTGTTAACCACTTTGAAAAAAAGGTTGATGATATTCACTCTTCTTTTTCTGACTCACCTTTACTCACCGCTGGGTCACCAGACCCTCCTTTCACCCACACACTGACCTCCTTTTCCCCTCTCTCTCCAAGTGAGGTTCTTACCCTCATTACCTCTGCCCGCCCTACCACCTGTCCTCTGGACCCTATCCCTTCAAACCTCCTTCAGACTGTCGCTCCTGATATTCTACCGTTTCTCACCCATTTCATCAACACTTCTCTAACTTCTGGTCACTTTCCAAACAGTCTCAAGGAGGCAAGAGTAAACCCTCTCCTAAAGAAACCCACTCTCAACCCGTCAGATGTTATAAACTACAGGCCTGTCTCTCTCCTCCCGTTCCTGTCTAAAACACTTGAACGCGCTGTCTTTAGACAACTCTCCTGCTATCTCCATCAGAACAACCTTCTGGATCCGCACCAGTCTGGTTTCAAGGCAGGTCACTCCACATAAACTGCCCTCCTTGCTGTCACTGAGGAACTGCACACTGCTAAAGCAGCCTCCCTCTCCTCTGTCATCATCCTTTTGGACCCGTCTGCTGCATTCGACACGGTGAATCATCAGATCCTCCTTCGCACTCTCCAAGAACTTGGAGTTTCAGGCTCTGCACTTTCCCTCCTCACCTCATACCTCAAAGACCGCACCTACAGGGTTACTTGGAGAGGGTCCGAGTCCAACTCTTGTCAATTAACTACAGGGGTCCCTCAGGGCTCTGTTCTTGGTCCCCTCCTCTTCTCCCTGTACACAAACTCACTCGGATCAGTCATTAGCCCGCATGGTTTTTCATACCACTGCTACGCTGACGACACCCAATTAATTCTGTCCTTCCCCGCTCAGAGACCCAGGTCGTCGCACGCATCTCTGCTTGTCTAGCTGACATCTCTCAGTGGATGTCTGATCATCACCTCAAGCTCAACCTTGACAAGACTGAACTGCTCTTCCTTCCGGGAAAAGATTGTCCCACTCTTGACCTGACAATCAACATCGGCACCTCAGTTGTTTCCCCGACTCAGACTGCAAGGAATCTGGGTGTGACCCTAGATAACAACCTGTCCTTCACTGCAAACATAGCTGCTACAACCCGCTGCTGCAGATACACGCTTTACAACATCAGGAGGATGCGTCCCCAGCTGACCCAGAAAGCGACGCAGGTTCTGGTCCAGGCTCTCGTCATCTCACGTCTAGACTACTGTAACTCCCTCCTGGCTGGTCTACCTGCATGTGCCATCCGACCTCTGCAGCTCATCCAGAATGCAGCTGCTCACCTGGTCTTCAACCTTCCTAAATTCTTCCACACCATGCCGCTCCTCCGCTGCCTTCACTGGCTTCCGATAACTGCTAGAATCCACTTCAAGACAATGGTACTTGCGTACCATGCTGCGAATGGATCTGGCCCTTCCTACATCCAGGACATGGTTAAACCGTACACCCCAGCACATGCACTCTGCTCTGCATCAACCAAACGGCTCGCTGCACCCTCGCTGCGAAGGGGACCCAAGTTCCCATCAGCAAAAACACGTGGATTTGCTATCCTGGCTCCTAAATGGTGGAATGAGCTCCCCATTGACATCAGGACAGCAGATAGCTTACACACCTTCCGGCGCAGACTGAAAACTCATCTCTTTCGACTACACTTCGAGCGATAGAACTATTAACAAAGCACTTATATACTAATAAAGGACTGGCTTACCTAAAGCCAGTTGAGTAGCACTTGAAATGTTTTTGCTCTATGAAGCCTGATGTACTTATATGATTCTGTTTTCTTCAAGTTTGTATTTTGTTGGTCGAACGCACTTATTGTAAGTCGCTTTGGATAAAAGCGTCAGCTAAATGCAATGTAATGTAATGTAATGTAAAGAGCAACTTGCAGGTTTTTTTTTTTACTACATTTATGCTTAACCTTGCCTGACCATTTCAATTAAAAAAGTGAATGCAGGATTTGATATGTGTTACGAGACATAAGGGCAGGAATTCAAAGGGGAAAGTAGCCGTTTTGAGCTCTGCTACTAAAAACTGTTTTTTTTTAACGTCAAACGCGCCATATTACGTCACATAGGGGAGCAACTTTCTTGGACTCCTTCTCTGGCCAATTTATGGTAGTAGTTGGTTTGAGCGGTTGTGATTTATTGAGCTGGTATTCTTTTGGTAATTTTACATTGCATTTCACCATTTTTAATCACGGTGAGCTATTGTGTTTGTGCAGGTTGCACAAACTCCAGCCTGTCAGGACATCGAGTCCACAGTTTCCCTAACAGGAAAAGGACCGGAGCTAGCTTTCGTTCCTGGGTGCTTTGTGCATCCACCCCCCTGCAGCACATACTCTCCACAGCTGGGCTGGCATTTCCCACACAAGCACCTATCAAACAAAACGTTTATCAGGAAACCGTATTACATCTCTCTCCCCCCCTTCGCTGCTCTCTCTCTCTCCCCCTTTGCTTTTTGGGGTTTCCCTTTCCTGTAGTGTGTGATATAGGTTTGTGTGCATGTAAATAGTCTGCAAAGGCTAAATTACCTGTGTTCCCTCCAGAGTTTCTCTCCTAACAGAGCCAACACCAGGAGATACAATTGCAGTTACTTTGGCTTATTTAAAAAAAGAAAACATATTTTAATCTTTATCTGTTTAAAATAATATAAAGTCTTCTAATTGTATTTCATTTTTTCTCTATTTGACATATTTGTAAGATAGAGGTCTCTAAAGATGAGCAAGGCTAATCATAATGTGTTGGTCAAAATACATTTTTAGAAATCCAGATACCAGCACAAGACTACTCCAATTAAACATTTGTGCAATTCAGTGTTTGTGAAAACGAGTTCATTTAAAGAGCTTGTGACATAAAATGTGCCTCTTTCTTTCTTGTCTGTCCAGGAAGTAAAGGCAGCCATCTTTGAGGACATGATGAGACTTGGGAAGGAAGGAGGCCTCAAGTCCTTTGAGCAGGTAAAACACTCACCTTTTAATATCCTTACTGTGTTCCACTACGTAGCGATGCTGACTTGTAGTGTTCTTCTAAACTTTTCTGAAACATTATTTTTAGGTTATTTTAGTTTTTTTGTCTCTCTCTCAATGTCTGCCTGAACGTGAAAGGTTGTAAGAAAACAAAGGATGGATCGCACAACTTAATTTAAATCTTCTTTTCTTCATTTAAGTATTTTTAAATGGTTATTGACCTAAATAGACGTTTGAATTAACTTGTTAGCCACAGCAAAACCATTTTCAACATTTTCATACTTAATTGCGTTGTTTTTTTTAAAGGATTTTTCACAAAATAATCGAAAATGAACAATTTAATAATTTTAGAAATAATCATTAGCACATTTAAAAACCGATTTTTATATAACCTAACTTGTAAGTTTCCTTTAGAATAAAGTTATTATTACTTTTCTTTTTATGCGTTATGTTTTTTTAATAATGTGCCAGAAGCCGCATCTTTGCCTCACTTAACTTCATTTGTTATTGACATTACAAAACAAACAGGAATTCCGATTTAGTTCCTCTCTGATGCTTATTGTTTAAAAACAACTGAAGGTGGCGAAGATTCGCCTCGCACAAGATTGACGGAGGCATTATTGGTGTTTACTTGCGTCACTCAAACTAGATGTGCTGGCAAGAAGGCGGGGCTTAAGTCCAAAATCGTCACTTTTATGAATCTAAAAGGAAAATACTTTTAAAATGATTATTTAATTATTTACTATCTATTAAATTATTTATTTATTTCGACATCATTGTGTTTCCTCGCGTCACTGAAACTACACACGCTGACAAGGAGGCGGGCCTTATCGCCATGTAGATACCAACAATGTTTCATTGTCAATTGCCGTAATCATCACTCTTGATTGATTGATTAAAATTTGTATTAACAGATTGCAGAATGGGTACAATACAGTTCAGCTCAATACACACAATTGTTAAGGGGATGCAGACCAGAAAAAGACTTTCGTCTTGTTTACATCAGGGTCCCCCATTTTAATTCATCATAACATATATGACATACATGACATACAGATAGATTACATTTTCATTTTAGATTAATTTTCAATTCATCATAACATATATGACATACATGACATACAGATAGACAGTACTGTTACATCTAGACATTTATGACATACCAGATCTACAAATATACAGTACTCTTTGTGAGTATAAAAAGAGTCTAAAACGAGAGTCTAAAAAGAGAGTATATACATTGGGGGGTGGGTGGGAAACTGTATATTGTAGGGGGTTGGGTTTGGACATTTACAGGGGCCAGTTTCGAATTGCAGTCTCCCGTAGGTGCTCTTTTAGAGAGGTTTTGAAGGTGGGTAGTGATTCACATTCCTTTACAGCTGTGGGTAGGGCGTTCCACATTGTTGTGGCATAATTGCGAAACGTGTTTCGTCCCTTGTTTGAGGCAAATCTGGGTTTAACATGATTTGTGGAGCTCCCTCTGGTGTTGTGGTCGTGGTATTCACTGACCTTTGGGAAGTATTTTGACATGTACATGGGTACCTTATTGCTGTAGTGTATCTTGTAGACCAGGCCCATTGCAAGTAGCTGTACTCTGTTGTCTACTCTAAGCCATCCTAGGTTGTCAAAGTGGGCAGAGGTGAGGTGGGTTCTAGTAGTAAGGTCAAGCAGTAGTCTGACCAGTTTGTTTTGTGATGTTTGTAATTTTGTTTTAGCGCCTTTGAGGTGCTTTGGTACCATGAGGTGCAAGCATAGTCGTAGTAACCTTGAATGAGTGCTCCTGCCAGAGTCTTCAGGGTATTCTTGTTTACCAGAGAGGAGATCCGGTATAGGAATCTAGTTCTTTGATTGACTTTTTTGATTACATTGGATGCCATTTTGTCACAGGAGAAATTAGCCTCTAGTATGGAACCTAGGTATGTAATTTCCTTGTGACAATATTGTCACCCACTGTTCTTGCTGAGTTTGTTTTTTGAACCGAAGAGAATGGACTCTGTTTTACCCAGGTGTAATGATAGTTTGTTATCAGCGAGCCAGGTGCAGATTCTGCCGAGTTCCGAGCTGAGGGTTTTTTCAACCTGCAATCTGTTCCTGTCAGAGACCAGCAGGGCTGAGTCGTCCGCGAACAGGAACAAGTTGCAGTCACATGCTGATGACATGTCATTTGCATAAATTAGGAACAGTAACGGTCCTAGTATGCTTCCTTGTGGAACACCACAGCTCACTGGGAGGGGGGACGACAGAGTACCGTTTACCTCCACCATCTGTTCTCTCCCCTCCAGGTAGGATTGCATCCAGCTCACTGATAGACTATCAAAACCAATTGCTTTTAGCTTGTCAATCAGAATGGGGTGATTGACAGTGTCGAAAGCCTTTTGTAGGTCCAGCATCACCATGCCGCAGTACTTGCCCTCGTCCACCTCTTGTTTGATGTGGTCGTTCAAATAGAGAAGGCATGTGTCAGTGGAGTGGGATGTTCTAAAGCCAGATTGGAATTCGTAAATTAGATTTTTTTCCGCGAGGTACTTTTCGACCTGTTCGTATACTATTTTTTCCATGACTTTCGAGATGGAGGTAAGTATAGAAACAGGGCGGTAGTTGCCTGGGTCCAAGTCTTTGGGTACGTGTCCCTGTTTTATGGAGAGGTTTATTATGTGTGTGATGACTGGGGTGATGGCGGCTGCTGAGTCTCTGAGGAATTTGGAGGGGATATTGTCATGGCCAGTGGCCTTGTTAGGTTGGAGGGCGCTCAATTTTTTGTGTACCTCAGCTGTTGTTACCATTACTAGTTTGAAATCATCTTTGCGGAACCCTAGGTTATTGTAGTAGGCTAGGATGTGTTCTACCCCAAAATGCCCTGAGTGGGAGGGTAGTTTATTTACCAGTGTTGTGGCTATGTTTGTGAAGAAAATCTTAACAATCTATTTATTTATTCATGCATTTATTCACGTATTTTTTAAATTTTATTTACTTTTGTCTTAACAATTATCCCGTTTAACCAAACCTGCCAATATTTGTTTGTGTGTCCTTTAAGGTGAAGTCCATCTACGTCCACACTGAGCTGTTCTCCATCGAGAACGGCCTGCTCACTCCCACACTGAAGGCGAAGAGGAACGAGCAGCGACAGTACTTCAGATCCCAGATAGACAATTTGTACTCCGGGATCAAAATGTAAAACAAAGACAAAGTGGACACAAGCTCTACCAAAGTGGTTTTTAATATGAAGGGAAGTTAAAACACAAAGGGAAGCAAATGAAGAGATCCTCTCAGACCAAAACCAACATGTTTAGTTACCCTGGGAACAACAGCAACAGGAAGTGATGTAGCTTTAAAATGGAACTTGATTCAGAGCATTTAGAACAAAATCTATGAGTCTAATCTATGATCTATAGCACAGAATACAAGAGTAGATTTAAAAGATTATGATTGTTTGTCTATTGATGAAATCGTTTTGCCTAAGCCATGTGCAGTACGATTTCTGTGATAAAGTGTTGATTCTAATCAGCTATTTTGTGATATCATCTCCATTAGGGGTGTTTTTTTAAGTTTTGTAGGGAAAGTGCAACTTTGTGGCTTCAGACAACTCAGGATTTCACACACAGTACCTCCAAAACACACACTTTTAACTCCAAGGATAGATGAAGGCCGAAACGGGTTCACTGAAGGTTTTGCAGCTTCACAAACCATACATCTCAGGTCTTTGATACGATGTTTTGTCAGATGTCAAGATTTTATTTCAATATGTTTCTTGAGTTTGTTTTGAAGTTGAATTCCACAATGTGTAACGAGATTATTTTCAGTGAATAAGCTTGGATCCAATAAGGACCCGGGAACATTCAGCGTGAGCCATATTAAAATAAACTTAACAAAACTAGCTGGAATCCGGGTACTAAAGAACAGTAACGGACACTGTCAATGTTTTGATTTATTTATAAAGGGATGATGATTTGTTGAATAAATTGGTTTTCTTAAATTATTATAATTTAATGCTGTAGGGGGAGAATAAACATCTCCAAATAAAATTGTTAACAATTTGATTAAAGTCCTTTGAAATGTTTATAGGGAAATATGTATGTTTTAATCATTTTAATCTGTCTTCAAATTTATTTTGTAAAAAATGTAATTAAAATGTATCGGAAGAGAAGAGCAGTGCGAGTCCCATGTGTTTTGCTTTATCAGGGCTGTGTGATCATGAAAAACTGTTTGAATAGTGAATCAAATTATTTTGACCCATAGATATTTGCATATAATTTACTCATAATCCGCATTTGTATCATTATTATTGTTATTTGTTTTGGTATGGATTTTATTGTTGACTGAGACTAGACTGAGCTATATATATATTATCTTTAAAAAAACATGTTCTTGCTTATGGGTTTAAACCATAGACTGTATATATAAAGGTTTAAACGACTTGTGTAAAATAGCTACGTTATTGAAACGGTTTGAGCATATATTGAACCATTTTGCTCTCCGTAGGACCGACATTTAAGTCTTCTCGGGGTCGTTTGTTTTTACATATTTTCAGTATAATTGTTTATTTAAAGAACAATACAACCAATATTTGACCACCGTATAATTAAGTGTAACATGTTATTTTGTAAAAGGAAAACTGAAGTTTTGAGATATAACTTTAAAATTAATACATTTTGACCACCATTTAAACCCCAAGTATTTGGAATGGTACAGTCCAACAATTCAAGCATTTTGCGGGAAGCATCCATGGATAAGAGGAAGCAACTCGAGCTACGGAGTGTTTACAAAACAAACTTGTTACTAAACTACATTACAGTCTACTACAGTCGTCTCAATGAGGTAAGACACATTATGAATCAGTTATAAGTTATCAGCCTCATTTTGTGTTGCTGGTATCGGCATAGCCGTAAGCTAATAACACATTAAAGAATTGTTAAATGCTTTCGCGGTGAGAGTAACGTTACTGTAATTTCGATACAAATGCACGTGAAAGAAGAGGCTAATAAACGCTTTGTCTGTTGTCAGTTTCGTTAGGAAGTTCAGAAGAGCTAAGCTATTACAACTTATTAGAAAATCATTCATTTGTGTAGCATTTGTACGACATTTGGCGTTGCATGTAATGTATTACATGAAGGTGCTACCTGACTGAATAGAGTGTTGTTTAAGGCTAGCCACATAGCAGCTAAACATAATGATAAACCGGTTCTGGGTGATTTGGGTCCGCATTATCACACAGCAGCCAGGAGTGGAGTCATGACACGAGCAGTAGGATGCTTATGGAAGCAAACAAGAGACAGAAGTATTTGAATTTGATCAGACACCGAATTTATAGCATTGAAAATAATTACTTTGAAAATCATGAATCTGAATTTGTTTTGCTCCGAATTTATCTATGTGAAATAAAAATGTAAAAATTCAAGTTAAAGAAATTCGAATGTTCAAATTCAGATCCCAAAAATTCAAGTGAAAAAAATTCGACGTCAAATATTTTGGTGTTTAAAATTCGATGTCAAAAATTGCGATGCAGCCTCATCCAGGCTACTCAGACAGGATAAGCAATCGAGCCCTAATGCAATCAAACCGACTTCTGGCCTATCAGAGCCAAGCGGCAAACCCCGGGACAGTGCGGTGAAGCCCAATGCTGCAAACTGTAGGCGATGGATGCAGATGGGAGCAATTCCCGTAGACCCTATGTTAAAATGTCCAACTCAACATAAGAAAATGAACATGTTTCTAGCCTGGATCTACAAAAACATATTCTGTATATAGTTAGATTCCCCCTTCATGACAACGGGACTGCTGCTCCTAGCTCCTCTCTGCTAGCTCCGTTAGCTCCGTGATGCTACAGCGGCTCAGCTCATGAGGAGAACACTACTTGAACTCGGCCGTGTTTGTTGTGTTGGTTCCTGGTGGACTATTCGTCATGCAAATATAGGATTTATCTGCGGTTGAAACAGACCGTCCATGAATGCAGTTTCTTCGGTAAGTCAACCCTGCGTACTTTATGTTATGTTACTGGTGTTTTTATTAATCTAACGTTAATGAATGTTTAGAGTTGGGTTAGCATTTGAGCAATCGTAGCTCCATCTGTGCTAACGATGCTATGCGTAGCATCCAAGAGTGTAAAACATTAAGTGGGATGCTACTGTATACCAAAAGGCTTCTGTGCGAGGTTGCTAAAATAAGGTCATCCTTGTACGTTAGATAGTTAGTTTGCTATTTAGGTTACTGTATGCATTGTTAAGGTTCATTTAAATTCGCTATGCTCTACTATAGCATAAAATAGACTAGCTAACTTCAACGTATTGTTGAAGAGAGGCTTAGTGTATATTAAATCAACCTCACAATGAAATGTGTGTATCTTTAAAATATGAACGTCACATTTCAAGATGGTCCAGAAATAACGCTCCCTTAGATATTGTAATATGGTTTGTTGAACTGGAGTTATTTATTGCAGCTAACCGTCTATCCGACGAACGACCCAAACATTGTTGTTTTTAATATTATTACCGATGCCTCTTTTAATTGTATTATCATCACACTTGAGAAACAGCCGTATCGTGGCTGTACAACGGAACATGTAACTTAATTCCTGCATTTAAGGATGATGAATAGCGTAGTCAATGCTTTAGTGACAAGGAAATGATTTGTTTAAATATTATATATGACGTTATCTGTGACTTCAGTGAACATTAAGCTTATCCATTGCATTGCATTTGTTCAATAGGTTTGTGTCTTACCCCTATGTGTGTGATACATATAAATATGGCATTTGAAAACAAATTAATTTGACTGACTCATGAGAAACACATCCAAAGTAACAGTAAAATAAAAAGGACCTACACAATAATACTCAATCAAACTGATACAGTATAAGGACTGTGATATCCAGCCATTTCTTAAGTATAACAATAAGATTATGACCTGTTTTTAAAAGAAGATAAAAAGTAGTTTGCATGTAAAGAAGTCTAACCCGCGCATGTAACTTTACATCTGTTTGTTCAAAGTGTCCTCAAGGTGATCCAGACAGGCTGGACCAGAGGAGGAGAGACAGACCTGGACCAGAGGAGGAGAGACAGATCTGGACCAGAGGAGGAGAGACAGATCTGGACTCCTAGCAGCAGAGAACTTCAGCACGGATTCCAAGGTACACCTTTTTCATGCTTTACAAAGAATGCATAAAGTAATGACTCCAATACACTGATAGACATGCCATTAAACATTACTAAATACTAGATCACCCACACATCAGTGATGTTGAGTGTACTTTCTTAGCAAAAGGTTACATTTACATTTTACCAAGCAACATCACATAGTGAGAGCTGCGACCCTTTGTCTTTCAGTGAGACAACCGGACGGAGCAAGCTTCCACAGTTGCACTAAGTTTTGATAACAGTTAAATATTATTTTAATAATACATTTATTTCAATGTTGATGAATTTAGAACGGTTTATTCATAACCTGATTATCTTTGTAGTACACTGTTGGATTTAAAAAACACATTCAAATAAGAAAATCATTATATTTATGAACAAACAAACACATCTCTTTCTTAAATAACACACTTGCTCTGCAATAATATGTTTTTTGATATTTCTGTTAGGAAAGGACACGCCTGAGAGACAGGACTGCTTCACCATGTTCTCTTTCTCTGAGGGTCCAGAAGAACATCCAAGAGGGAAAGGAGAAGCTGATGTGATGAGATTTAAGAGCAGTACAGGACATTCACTAAGAGACACTTATATTGTAACACAAAGACCTGCACACTGACTAGTTTTGTAGTCTAACGGGAACTTCATTTGTGTTGTTTTGTGTTTTACGTTGCACCTCAGAGACAGTGTGATTATTGTCAGGCCTATAAAGTTTGGCAAAAAAAAAAAGTCAGCTGATCAAATGCATTTGCCTCACTTTATGAGCTTCACATCACTTGTGCCTTGTGCCGCCGAGTTTGCAACATCATAAATAAATGGTGCCAATCTTCAGTCAGATGTGAATGTGTAATCTAACATTTTCAGTAAGAATAACGGACAAAAGGAGTGCAAATACAATTTATTGAAATGTGAACTAAAAGTTATCAAGCATGAACCATCACCATTTTTTTTTAAATAAAAACGAAATAATATACATAAGTTATACTAAATGTTAATCTGTTAATTGACAGGCTAGGCCTGTGCAGGTGGTAACAGCTATGCCCAGCATGGGCTAAGTTCTGTAAGTGCAGGTCCTCCTCCATCAGGTCTGGTCCTCCTCCCTCAGGCCTGCAGGGTCTTTCCCTGCGAGGAGGACTCCTCGCAGGGAAAGACCCTCAGCCCTCTCCGGCCAAAGCAACAGACAGGACGTTCATAAAGCTGAGGTTTCCCCCAAAGTCTCTAATCATCCATCCTGTGAATATGAGAGGGGAACAAATAGTGTAATAGATGCTTTGGAGGATAAGAAATATAAAGTTAACTGTTGAGTTGCTCAGTTTTTTAGATTGACAGGGTTTAATAACACAAACAAAAGGAGAGAAATAAAGATTGGTCTTTCAATACATTGTGTTGATTTTGTCTTTTGAATTGTTTGTCTGAAGTCAAGTAGCTAGAACTGTTACTTATAGTTTGAATGATACAGTCTGGTTATAATGTTTGGAGGAGGCATCACAGGTAAGAGCACCATTTGTTGTGTTCCATCCACAACAAATTGATGTGTGTATTTATTTATTTACTATTTCTTGAATCATTACTGTCAGTCCAAAACAAGAGATTTTGTTTTGGTAACATTTAAAAAAAACATTATCTCTTTTTCACTACACTATCTTGAATACTTTAGTTTTTACGTCACTACATTTATCTAACAGCTTTAACATTGTAAAGGTGTCACTTCGGACTAATTATGACAGCATGTCCTACTCAGAGCCCTAGTGTCTCTAGGGCTCTGGTCCTACTATTTTGAGAGTTTGAACAAACCAGACCTTCATCTATTAATGTAGAAAATAGTCGGCACATTACACCATTATGAAAGTAATAATTAGTTAGTTCAAAATGAGCTCCAACTACAACAGTTAAGTCAACTCGTGCATCGGTAATAACAATAAATCAAATGATATAATATAATAGTATAACTTGTGTCTACTTTAACAACACTTTCCTAATTATACTAGCATACTTTTACTAAAGTAACATTAACATGTTAAAATGCAGGGCTTTTGTAAGAGTGTATTTCGTATAGTGTAGCATGGTCTACTTGACTTATCTAACCGAAGTGATCGTTACGTTACTTTGCAAACCGTCACCCCCAACCAACCAACCCACACACGCACACACACGTTGTGATTCACTTCAATTAATGGTAACGGAGCTTGCTAACAACAAGGCTACTTCACTCATTTAGCTAGCTAATGTAAGATACAAATGCTGTCGAGCCCTCACTGCTTGTAAAATAAAGAGCACAAACTGACTACTTACCCGAGCGGCGAGCCCCACTGTTCTCCGTCATTTTTCTCCCGGGTTGTTGTGATCACATGACTGACAAAGCCGTGCTCTGATAGGCCAGAAGTCGGAGTTGCATTAGGGCTCGATTGCTTATCCTGTCTGCGTAGCCCGGATGATGCTGCATCGAATTTTATACATCGAATTTTTTTACATCGAATTTTTTGACGTCGAATTTTTGGGATCTGAATTTGAACATTCGAATTTTTTTCACTTGAATTTTTACATTTTTATTTCACATAGGTAAATTCGGAGCAAAAACATTTAGATACATGATTTTCAAAGTAATTATTTTCAATGTTATAAATTCGGTGTCTAATACAATTCAAATACTTCTGTCTCTTGTTTGCTTCCATAGATGCTCAAGTGAAG